TACCTTACAAGGAGCTAGGACTGTTTTTTTTTCCTCACTTCTTTTAGAATTCAAGAGCAAAACTTGCTAAGCTAAAATAATAATAAAATAATAATWATTATTATTATTCAAGCTGAACAATAGTGATGGTAACGTATTTTAAAAATCATTTGTTATACATGGATGATACGAAGCTCTATGGGAAGAAAGATAAAGAAATCGAGTCACTACTACACTCTGTACGAATATTTAGTACAGTCATTGGGATGACATTCGGGGTAGAGAAGTGCGCCAGAGTAAGAGTAAGAGGAGGAAAGGTGGTAGAGAGGGATGGGATAAAGCTACCCTATGGTCAGCAGATAAAGAACTTGGACGGTGATGATCACTATAGGTATCTAGGAGTGTTGGAGAAGGAAGATATCAACCATCAGAAAGTTAAGAATAGCGTCCAACTACAATACAAAAGGAGATTAAGACTGATTCTTAAATCAAAGTTATCAGGAAGAAACAAGATTTCCGCCATTAACGCCTATGCGGTTCCAGTAATAAGATACACAGCTGGAATAGTAAATTGGACAAACGAAGAACTCCACTCTCTAGACAGAAAGACGCGTAAAATAGTAACCATGCATCGATGGTTACATACAAGATCTATGGGTAGAAGAGGACTTAAGACTGTAGAGGACACCGTAAAAGAGGAAGAACTTTCCCTGAAAGAATATGTCAGCAAACATTGTAAAGGATACCGTGAAAGAACCAGAAGAGACGAAGAAAGAATATCAAAAGCGCAGGTAGAACGAAAGACTTGAAAGAAAGCTCTGGCTAAAAGAAAGGACACATTAAAATGGAGACGTAAGAACTACTCACTGCTGCTCAGGACCAAGCACTACCTACCAACTACTTGAGAAGTAAGTTACAACAGTAGTGATTCATCGCTGTGCCGGTTATGTAATGAAAAGATGGAAACTGTGGACCACCTTGTAGCTGGATGCAAATTACTGGTAGGGAGAGAGTATAACTAAAGACAGACATGACAAAGTGGCAAGAACAWTACATTGGCACCTATGTAGGAAACACCAAATACAGTGTACTGCAGATAATTGGTGGGATCACGAACCAGAGAAAGTAGTGGAAAATAAAAAGATCAAGATCCTATGGGATTTTAATGTTTACACGGATAAGAAGATTGAAGCGAGAAAACCGGACATCATAGTCGTAGATAAGAGCAAGAAGAAGGCGAAACTGATTGACATCTCAGTGCCTATGGACCATAGAATTGATCAAAAAGAAATGGAAAAGATTGACAAGTCCCAAGACCTAAGAATAGAAATAGAAAGATTGTGGAGGATGAAGACCATGGTAGTTYCGATAGTCATTGGATCTCTCGGAACAATATCAAAACAATTTAAGGATCATGTTCAGAGACTAGAACTTGATAGCATAAGCTTGTTAGACCTACAGAAATCTGTACTTTTAGGCACGGCACACATCTTAAGAAGAGTACTTCAGCTCT